GGCGAAATTTATAGCTTTGTGTTCGGCAACAAAAGAAATAACATGATTGAAACGAATTCTTGCGGAGTTGAATTATTTTCAAAATTTGCCAACGCTGATTTATTGTGAAAATCAAGTTACAATTATCTTAGTAAAGAATTCAGAATTACAAATCCAGAATTTTACAAATCCAAAATTTAAACATGTAGATACATAGTATCATTTTAGTTACTAAAATACAGAATAGGAGAAATAAATATTAAATATATTAAAATTGATAAATAATTAGCCAATCCGTTATAAATTTAACATGAAATTATGAAAAATTTCAGAATTTGTTATCTCAGAATGATATTAAAAGGAATGTAGATTTATCCGATATGAATGTATAATTTTATAAAGATATTCGTCAAGTGGGAATGTTTAGTTCATATATGTAAAAGTGTAATCCATATCTTGTATATTTATGTGAATTGAGATCACTAGACGCAATCGCTATTTCGATTTTGTTTTGTTTGTTTTTCTCTTTGAACTAGCATGCGACGCGACATAGTGAGGTCAGTGTAGTAAAATAAAGACATCGGCACATTTATTCACATTTATACGCAGTTTATACAATAACGCAATTTATTCCTATTTTATTAAATATATTTTTTCTTATTATATATTCTTTATTTTAATCAAATTATTTCACAACTTATTTCCTAATATTGTGTATTGTATAGCTAATTATTAACTATTGATTAATAAAGATTTTTTTAAATAATAAAAATATTTAAAATGAAAATAATGATATTAAAAAATTAAAAAGAAATCAGAAAAATAATCTTTCATAATATGGAGAATGATAAATATACAGATTTATTTGAAAATATTTTAATAATACTTCATTATTTTTCATAACAGAATTATGTATGATGTATATTGAACGAATTTACATTTTCATCATAGAATCAATAATATTTTTATTGCTTCCGTATTATGAAAATATTATATAATGATATAAAATTTATATTTTCCTGAAACAAGACATAACGACAATATTGAATTTATGCTTTAGTAATTAATCTTTAATATCAATTCTCTTCATAAAAAATATATCATAATCTTTTACTAGTATTAAAAATATGAATTTTATCATACCATTATTAATTTTAAAATCATATAAAACAATCATAAAAATATTTTAATAGAATTTATTACAATAATTTCTTATATTACATTTAATCTTAATTTTTACAGAATTTTAATCTCTATATCTATTTCAATTTATTTATTTATTTTTTATTTTATTTCTTATTTCAATTATTTCTTATAATTCATATTTCTTATTTCAATTTTTATTATGAAAAGGATTAAAACAAAAAATTTGAATTTTCCATTTTAAACGTATTAAATTATGGTATATTAATTATTCAAGAAATAAAGGAAAAGAAAATAAAAATCCAGAATTCCTCGAAGGAAAACGATAAAAATGGAAAAAATTTTTTTCTTCGATCTTCAATTGAAATCTACAAGTTCATATGCCTTAGAAAAAGTGGACATTTTGTTTTAATTTTTCAACTAATTATTTCAAAATCTTAAGAATTCTTTTGTACTTATTTCATATCCATACATAGTGATGGGATTTTGAACGTTTCGAATCGTATTAAGTGTTTAAAATGCTGCGAAATTTAATTACTTTTTGAATTTGATTTGAAACTCAAAAACTTTTTGAAGTTTTATATATATATATATATATATATATATATATATAT